AGGGGGGAGATGGGGAGGGGAGATGTACTTCGTTCGTTGGCGCAGTGGTCGCGGGCGTCGCTGTCTGTGTTTTCGAAGAGGAGGGGGCCGAAGAAGGGGGGGACGCAGAAGATGGATGTGCTATTGTGTCTGTTGGGGGGATTTGGTTAGTATGTATGTACAGCATATCTTCAAATATGGATAGCTATGGATCTGAGCCCTTCCTCTTTCTAGGATTTCTTTTCTAGATGTTCCCCAGAGTCCCTCTCCACGAGGGGAATAGTGGAATAAATGGTAGAGTAGGTGAGGTACGTACGGAGGGACGTTCACGGGCGTAGCACCCATCGGGATCCCGAATACGGTGTAGGTATTCCTGCTTCCTACTTCTTCTTCATCGTCGGAAGGGTCTGCGAGAGGCATTTTAGATGCATAAAATAGGAATGTACAAAATCACCCCCACTAAATTTCTTTTTTGGAGAGAAAGGAGACGGATGGATGGTTGTTTGTTATTGGTATTGAAAGAAAGAAAGCTGAGGCGGTGTTGAGGAGCTTTCTTGCGTGCTGGTGTGATCGTGTGATATCATTTGCCAATGCCAATCCTTGTTTTTGGTGGTGGTTTTTGCACAAAGCCGTACTACTATGACAAGGGTAGCTAGCTTTCTGATACTTTCAAACCCCCTCCAAGTCTGTCAAATACCTAGGTAAATCCACTTCGGAAGGAGATCAGGTGAATTGAAATTTGCCCAGGTACTTTACATAAGTTCATTCTATTCTCTGTCCTGACAATCTTTGACATCTCACGGCGGATTGTATTTCATATACAATACAGTCAGGCGCTCCTCTTTTTCTGTCATCTCAACTCACCATGGCTGCTTGCCTCGGAAGCGGCCGCAGCTGCTTTTCGTCCCATCCTTGTACCTCTCTTGCAGGCATGTTGAAGTCACCCTTTCCTTATTGACTTTGTACAACTTCAAATGTCGTTACGATAAAATCGACATTCGTGGCAAAATGTTTCCATACATGCAACTCGCCTCCTTTGCCATGCAGTCTTTACAATAAATGCAATGCCAACCATCTCATCTCTTCAAAGCTTGACTCACTCGTCGTCGGTTACTCGCACCTATTTCGGACAATACGCTTATCTATTGGTCTAGACTTGGAGGGGTTAGTTGCTGATGGGGCGATTAGGTCGGGAGGCGGAGAAGAGAGCTCTGGTGGGGAAAGGGAAATGGTCAGGCCTCTTTCTTTCGTCTCTCCCGTCCTGTCTCCTCCCTCCTCTTCCTCGTTCTTTTCCTTCTGTCTGATCATTCATATATTTACTTTGGATTGCTCTGCTCGATTGGCTTAAGTCGCTACATCTATCTCTATGGGTGGTTGCTCTACCAAGTGTTGATGTCAGCGGAGCATTCAGAGTACTGTCAACAACTGGTGAACGAAAACATCCTACGCGCCAAAACCTCCCCCCATTCTTCAACATGTCGAGTTCTGCTCGGCCGATCAAGAAACAGCCCAGTCGGCACTCGATTGCAAGATCCCCCTTCAGCAATTCCTACCTCTCGGGATCCTTCTTGTCTGGCTCGCCCATAGCCCAGCAGTCGATCGCACGAGATCTCGAGGAGTGCGACGACGAGGTCGAAACCCCTGATACGGCGAGTGCAAGCTCCGAAGATGATTCTTCAGAGGCATCGACGGTGCGCCCGGATGCCGTGCAACATAGCATGGCCAATTCGTACCGCCGACCGAGTTTTGTGGCCTTTGGTGGGACTCGAGGTGCTGTGACGCCGCAGGTAGGTGAAGCTCTTTCTTAATTACCTGGGAACTGTTCTGGGAACTGTTCTGGGAAGATCAAGAATTTTGAGCCTCATGGAAATTCCTCTGACAAATTGTGATTTTTTGGGATCTGATTGAAGGGAATTTACTGATGCGAGATACCCAACAGTTCCAGGAACCGAATTACCTAACGAAGAAGGAGAAGAAGCAAGTCAGGAACGAGGAAAGGAGTTTGTTGAGGGATAACCATCTTGCTCCCCCGAAACATCCTGAACCGAAAGACAGAAGTGCCTTTCGTCGATTGTACAAGCGGTTATTCAGTACGAGGAGACCCAAGCCTGTGGCAGATGAAGAGGCGGATCCTGAAGACCCATTATCAACTGTTGGACCCTCGGAAACTTCTGCGCTGCTAGGGGATGGTTTACCAGAATCCGCAAGAACTCGACATGAGAGATTGAATGCTCAATGGGAAGCAGCTGTTGCTTCTGGGAAGATCAAGACGACATGGCAGCGAGAAGCAAAGACTCTGTGGAAGTACTCCAGTCCTCTGGTTGTAACGTTCGTGCTTCAGTACTCTCTACCGGTGGCCAGCATTTTCACAGTCGGCCATCTTGGAAAGGTGGAATTGGGTGCGGTCAGTTTGGCTAGCATGACAGCCAACATATCTGGATATGCGATATACCAGGGATTGGCTACCAGTTTGGATACGCTTTGTGCGCAGGCATATGGAAGTGGGAAGAAACATCTTGTCGGTCTTCAACTGCAGAGGATGGTCTACTTTCTCTGGATGCTCACGATACCCATCGGTGTACTTTGGTTATTCGCCGAGAAGATCTTAGAGAAAATGGTTCCTGAAAAGGAGTCCGCAGAGTTCGCAGGACTCTATCTCCGAGTCTTACTATTTGGCGCGCCTGGGTACGCCTGTTTTGAGAGCGGGAAGCGCTTCGTACAAGCTCAAGGCTTGTTTTCGGCCACCACATATGTCTTGCTTGTTGCGGCACCTCTGAATGCTTTCATGAACTGGTTGTTTGTTTGGCATTTTGATTGGGGTTTCATTGGAGCCCCTATCGCTGTTGCGGTCACGGATAACCTTCTGCCAATTTTCTTGTTTTTGTATGTGAGGTTTGTGGATGGGCGACAATGCTGGAATGGGTTTACTTGGAAAGCTTTCCATAATTGGGGTATGTATTTACTGACCTCAGATCCACCAAATGGCGAAAATGCTGACGCGAAAAGGTCCAATGATCAAGCTTGCTCTACCCGGTCTACTCATGGTTGAAGCGGAGTATCTTGCTTTCGAGATTCTCACTTTGGCGGCAAGCTATTTTGGCACTACACATCTGGCCGCTCAGAGTGTACTCAGTACGATCACTGCTATGACGTTCCAGATTCCATTCTCGACCTCCATCGCAGCTTCGACTCGTATTGCGAACTTGATTGGAGCTACACTCAGCGACGCCGCAAAGACCAGCGCCAAAGTGGTGAGTTCCTCTTTCTGTCTTTTCTGCTGCAACTTACTAACACCTCTCCAGGTAATGATCACAGCAACCCTCGTCGGTGTCTTCAACGTCATTCTACTCTCCTCCCTCCGCAACCTCATCCCCCAACTCTTCACCAACGACCAAGGCGTATCCGACCTCGTCGCACGCGTCATGCCTCTCTGCGCAGCCTTCCAACTCTTCGACGCCCTAGCAGCGAATTGCAACGGTCTACTCCGAGGTCTTGGGAGACAGGAGATCGGTGGATGGGTCAATCTGTTCTGTTATTATGTTATTGCTATGCCGATCTCGTTTTATACGGCTTTTGCTCTGGATTGGGAACTTCAGGGTTTGTGGAGTGGTGTGGCGCTCGCGTTGGGATTGTAAGTTATTTTTTCTTCGGGATTTTTTTGTGCCTGATGCATGAGAGGATTGGGCTAATGAGGAATAGGGTCGCTGCTGCTGAGGGATACTTCATCTGGAAAGCAGACTGGAATCAAGCTGTTGAAGATGCGCAGATGAGAAATAACGCTGGTTGATACAACAACCGGTACTGGGCTAGATGATCTGGAGGCTCATTCGGATGTCGAAGATAAGATCTACAGGATTACAGACACCGCTGGATCTGGTATATGATGGATGCGATGATGATGATTGAACGATCTACTGTAGTTGTGGATTTTGAGGTTGTGTTTGTGAATAGCTTCATACCCTTGATGTATTTTGTTTTCTTCTGCGGGAGTTGAGCACGCACGAAATTCATAGTACATATTGTATTGTTTGGTTTGAGGACATGGGGAGAGTTGAATATAGTTGGAATGTGGTGCTTCTGCTGTCTTTACTTCCCTTGTGTGTTTTCTTCCCCTTTGTCCTGTGAGATAGATGTGACTTGGAAGAGCGCTTGCGTGGGGGAGTATTTGCTGTATTAACTGGTCTAACTCAGCTAGGGTAGGGAAACAAACCCTTTTCGTCTTCCAATATTTGGAGAAGCACGAAGCACTAATTAAAGAGGAATAGGGTTGGTTGACTTTTGCTACCAGCCTTGAATATATAGCGGATGGATGAAACAGAGCCCCCTTAACAACTAAACCCCCAAGAACGCAAAAAAGTAGATTGTTCTGTTTAACAGCTTAATAAACCATTTTGTGTTTTCTTTTTTCTTTTTCCGAAACGGGGAATTGAACCCCGGTCTCCTGCGAACTTTTCCTCCCCTGGAATGAGGGGAATGAAAGGCAGAAATGCTAACCACTACACCATTCCGGATTGCTTCATATGTCAGATGACTTGATGGTGGAGCGTGCTTATTGTGGTGTATGTAGGGGATAGTGGGATGTGAGGAATTGAGAAGGAGAAGGAGTAGCGGTAGGGGTGGAATGAGAAGGACAGAGTGAATTAAATTGACAGACGGCATGGTATTTTTCCCGTTGTTAGGTGACTTCACTTTATCTACTGGGGTAGAGGCAGAAGCGTTAGTGGTGTAATAATTGGAAGAAGGGGGGGAGCATATGTATTGATTTAGCTTGAGTGCTTTTCCCTTGATTGTAATCACTTTGTTGACAAAGTGGAGCCGCATTGCTAAGCGACAAAGGGACAACTTGAACGAAGCAAGAGCAGAATCGTTCAAAACTTGCGGGGGCGGGAGCAAAGGTTGAAATGAGAAATACACATCCCACATCAGTTTTATATACGACTTCTCGTTCTTTATTCATAGATAGATCCAGTTCCGAACATAACATCCTCATCTCGCACAGGTAGAGGCAGGGGTCAAGCAAAACGCGCAGCAAAAAAACTCCCGCGCACCCACGGGAGAACAAACCCCATCTTCCAGGGGTTCTGCTTTTTCTTAATTAATTAACTAAACTACGCTGTTCTGGTGGTCGACTTTCTTCTTAGGTATCGCAGGCCCCAGTCGTTACATACCCTTCGCAAGCGGGCAAGGGGTATTAAATCCACGAGTTAAGAAGATCCACTGGCAGGAAAGCGGCTGTCGACCAGGTGTCAGTTCTGATGACTACCCACTGCGCTATCTGCACGTGGAGTATGAGATTGCGAGTTGGGCATAGCACATGATCTGGAGACTGTCCTCAGTACCCATTTGGGGAGAGGCTGCCCTGTTTTGTGTTCGAGGTGGTGAGTTGGATGTGAATGTGAATGACTAGAGATGGTTGGTGGGACTGTTAGTGGTGCGTGTTTGGGGTGAGCTAAGTGTGCTTAACCTGCCGAAACGGCACAGGAATTCGCTTATTTGGTTATTTGTCTGAGGGGATGGTTTGGGGCGGAAGGTGAGTGTGTTGGGTGGTGAATGGGTTGGGTGGCGTTCGGTAGAAGTTTAGCCGGGCCCGAAGTAGTGACGATGACTTTGACGACGTCGAGGGTGTAGTTGTCATGTAGCATCGGCGAATGACACGGCTACCTTATTCGAATGAAAAAAATGGGTAGTCCAGGGTTCTTGAAAGCTTTGGAGATCAGGAATAACAGCAACAAGAAGCCTGGAAATTCCAGGATTTCCACAACGACTGATATCCACCCACATCTCAAATCCTCACAAATACGTTTAGACAATTATAATCTATTACTTCTATCACAGACCCTTCTGTTACATAGGATATCACGCTTCTTCAAGGAGTATCAATTTTTATCCAAAATAAAGAGCCGAACCCTTTGTACGATGTGTTTATTGCGATTCTCGCTTAATCATGATTCTAAAACAAAATAAACCATGGCCGCCATCATCTTCACCAAGAATGTTTGATTGGCCGGGTGGAAATTTGCAGAATTCTGATGTGTAGTCATAAGAAGACACAATTCAGGCTATCTGGCTATTCAGGTTAAGCTGCAATTCTTACACCATCAGATGTTCATGGGATTATTTCCAGAAGACATTCACAGAGATCACAAAATGCATGAAATACTCGTATATTTTTTATGTCACAAAAATTGCTAATAACACAAAGGCAGATAACTGAGCTGCCAGAATATAACCTAGATCCACTGGTCTTTCATATTCAATCCAAGAATTTCTCGTACGAACGGCTGCCTAACTTCTCAGAGAGATAAGTTGTTCGGATATCCCATCCCTTCCCCTTTCCTCATAATATCCCCCTTCGACTTTCGTTTATAGAAACTTGAGGCTCGCCTCGTACGTCGAAGCACCGTTTCCAGGATCGGCATCTTGCGCTTTGCATTTTGCAGCTACTTTGTTATCTTGAGCGCCGAGAGGTCCCGAGACAGCCGCGAAGTCTCTCTTGGAGTTCGCGAGGAGCATATTCTCTGCTGCTTCTGGGAGCCAGCCGTTGATGAAGTCGCCGTGTGTGCAGTAGGATGGTCCGCATGCTAGTCTAGTGCCGAGAGTCAGTGGTTGGGACCAAAGAAAAGATTCTTTGGCACAAGTGCGAGTACTGTATTTAGGGATGGTACACATACTTGAGAGGAGCAGCCCCAGACCATCCACCAGGAACGATCTTTCGCAAATCATAGCGAATCGAGAATCGCAATCTCGGCATTCTCTTCATCCCCGCTGGGCATCTATTCGCGGGCTTGAAACCCGTCTTCCAGTTCTGCGTGCCGGAATACGCGGACTCGAGAGTATCGGGATTGACGCAGTCGTGGAAGAGGAGCAAGGTTTGGAGATGGGTCGAGCATGTCTTTGAGGGGAACGCGGCCTTGTCTTTGCCTGCCTCTGCAGGATCGCCTTCGCACCACCATTCGATGCCGGCGAGGTCGCTTACGTCTGCTTGTGATTTCGCTGCCGAGTTTCCCACTACGGATTTGTAGTCTTGTGGGATGGCTATTTCGGCTTGGTCGATGTCGACGTAGTAGGCTGAGAAGCTGGTGAAGGGGACTTGTGTGTTTGTCGTCCCTTTGGTGTAGAGTAATGTGGGTACCCCTGTATTTCAATCAGCACATGTTCCTAAATATGAGGAGAATGTTAAGAACTTACAGTAAGAAGAGAAATCATTGGGATTCCGTGCAGTGGTACACCCAGTCTGGAGTTCTTTGGAAGTGGTGGTATTCAAATCCACGGCATCGGATCCGAAGAAGGTGTGTAAATGACTTTTGTATTGTCCAGGTATAACGACAGGATCGATATTCTTGGTCATGAACTTGTCTACGACGATGACGGTGTATGCTTGCGCAGCACCGGCTGCGAGGGAAAGGAGTGTAAGTGAATGCATGGCAAACGAGTGGCTTTGAGAATGGAAAAAATGAACGAATGAATCAATCTCAACGAAATACAAATACAGAAACGAAAGGCGGGTAGGGAGGAAAGTACTCAAAATGGGAAACCTACCAAGTTATATCTAGAAGTCTGATTTTGGACTATAATAAGTGAGATATACCATGCTGATATTAAGCGATCAGGTACATGAGATGAGATGTTTATCTGAAGGGCAGGAACGGAGATTAGAATTTTGCTTGATTCCAGGCAAACGGCCTGCAGTTTCCCAACTGACAGCGGATGCGGATAACTAGACTGTTTTCTGTATATTGGATGAAAGTTTCCAAACCCGGAAAACGAAGCTATTGTTGATTGTTGAAACGCCAAGTGCCCCTTGGCAGGCAGGATTAGGAGGCGGGGTGGAAGTTGGAGGGGTGGCCATCCATGCTCGCGGAAGGATCAACATGGGATTGCATCTGTTCATCGATTCTCCACTGTCTTGATGACTATTTTATTCCAGATCTTGCCACCAATGATGTGATAAGACATGATCTATGGTTGTCCTATTTGCCGGATCCAGCTTTGTCATCCCAGTTATCATGTCCTGTGCTGCCGAACCAAGCTCTTGCGACCAAGAAGTGAATCTCAATTCGGGCTGGTCTTTAGCTGCGAGATCTGCTATCTCGGATGATTCCTTCATAGCTTCACACCAATTCTTACCATTGACTTGCTTGTAAAGTCCTTCACTTCAGAAACTGGCCCAAAGTAGATGAAATGCCGAGTAAGAATCTCTTGTTCTGCGGCTATGCCCTGTTTTACAAGCTCTTTGTAATCATTTAGGAGCAGGAACTCTCCACCACCTAAGGTGAAGATGCACTGGGAACTGAAGATTAGATTGTATAAAATGATTTTGAATCGGGCGCACTTACGACAAGACCAAATGAGAAAATGTCTGTCGCTTTTGTCACACCTCTTCCAGTCTGTCCTTCTGGACTTCGCCACATTGCATTTCCTATGGCATGCGGGGTTTCACGCGCCTTGCCTCCTTCAGATTTGAAAGCAATATCAACATCGCTGACTATTTTTCTGCCGCTGCTATCGCTCGTCCAATTGACTAGGATATTATCAGGCTTCACGTATGTTGATATAAGTTAGCAGTCTGTTTCACAACATATCTGCAAATCGTGGAAAATGCACCAATTTGGATCCAGTCTCTAGCATGAAACGATTGCAATGCCTCTCCTACACGTTGTAGAATTTTCTTTCGTTCCGTCGTAGGAAAATCAGGATCGTTCTGAATCAGACCAAGTAGAGTATCTCTGAAATATGGATAGACGAGAATATCTTCTGTTTCGTTGCAATCGACATGCATTCGAAGGCGACGAGAACCAGCAAACTCGGCAGCGAGTGATTGGGAGAGCTCATAGAAATGCCTATGTACGGGTTTGAGGACATAAAACTCGCTTTGAGACCTGGGGGAAATGGGTCAGGCATGCTTTCGTTATACACTGTCTAGAACATACTCGGCTCTCAGAATATTAAGCTTCTCATCCCGGCGTCGCTGGAGTACTTTGTTTACTATATATACGCGACCAGATTTGCCAACGACGCTGGACGCCGTTCTGATCTGGGGGCTTCTTCCAGCCTTGCTGCCTGCACAGGTATTGCTGTGGCTGTAATGAAGCGCCAAGCACCACTTGGCGGGCAGGATAGGAGGCGGGGTGGAAGTTGGCTCGCGGATGGAGATGGAGGAGCTCGCTAAATCTCAAATCTCATGCCCTCAAAAGTGATTTGCGAAATTATGGAGACGATCTAGGACTTCAGCTTGAAATACTAAACATATTATTCATCATCCCACCCCGAGCCTCTGTCTTCTTCGTACAATGGCTCTTCAGCAGAGAAGAGCTACTAAAACGCACCGCTGATACCATCTTGCAGATAACAAACATGGGCCGCACCTGAAATATCAATTTGATTATCTTCGAAAGGGCCAAAGGACAAAGTGCGACTGTAGCAAGAGGGCAGGTGGGCAGTGAATTCTATTTACACATCCAAAGCAAAAGGCACATCAGACACATGAGATTTGGTAAAAATCGCAATTGTA